AGTTGGCACTAATCCCAATTATTTCTCTGGGAGTACAAAGTGTTTTCCCTTAAGAAACATTAAGTTCTAGGAATTGATATGAGATGTAAAGACTAGGATGTAGAGTATGTTGACCCAAAGCATATCCATTGGTGGGATGGAGTGAGGTTTCTCAGGAGAAAAGCAAATGCACCTCAGAGGGATATTGACCCAGAAGTAGTTTCAACAATACCATCTTTTGTCTTATTTTGGATTCTAGATTATTTTGTAGGTATAATATGAGTGACAGAGATAGAGACTGAGAAAGAGACAGAGACTGGGACATGCACACAGGGAGATGAAATTAGAAGAGAGACTAGAAGAGCGAAGGACCAGTGGAAAAAGAAGGGGAAATGGGGAAGTTAGGGGGATATAAAATATATGATATACTTGAAAGACACTGCTTAATGAAGCATATGTACAAAGAACATATACCAATAAAGAATTTTAGGTCCAGCAAGATGGCTCCACAGGTGAAGGGACTTGCCACTGAGACTGATGCTACACATGAATTCAATCCTCAGAACTCACATTGTAGATGGAGAAAATCAGAAATCACGTGTTTTCCTCTGACCTCTGTAAACAAACCATGGCACACATGCACGCATACTACTACACAAATACGGAGATAGGAAGAGAGAGATGAATATATAATAAAACACGGAAATGATTTTTAAAAATTAAAGGAAGAAATGGACACCATTAAAGGAGTGAAGAACTCTAGGAGATGGCAATAGCAAAAGACTACAGTCATCTAGAGCTTCCAAACAGGACTGCGGCCTGTCACCATCTTCCCTTCAGCTCATGAAGTCCTAAATCTCTTTCTGAATTCCATAATTATAAAAAGAAATTTTGTGTTCAAGCAACAAATTTTGTGGTAAATTATTGCATAAGAATTAGAAAGACAAAGTACCTAGATCTTTTCTGAATTTTGTTATAAAAAATTTCATACAAAAAGACCTAAGAGACATTGAATTGTTGGCTATTGCTGAGCTCTTAAAACTTTCTCATCAATGAGAGACATACCGGCTGTTTGGCAGATGGAGGAAGTATACACATCTGGGGCTGTGTGAAGTGCGAGCAGTTGGTGAAACCCTCAGAGGTTTGTGTTTGAATGTGAAGTATTGTGGAAGGTGCCTCATAAATCTGCTGACAGTAATAATCTGCCAGATCTTCAGCCTGGACACTGCTGATGGTGAGAGTGAAATCTTTCCCAGACCCACTGCCTATAAAGCAATCAGGGACCCCAGTCTGCCATGTGGATGCCCAGTACATCAGCATCTTAGGAGCCTACCCTGGCTTCTGCTGGTACCAGACCAAGTAGTTCTTCTGATCTGAGCTATAATAAAGACTCTGGCTGGACTTGCAACTGATGGTGACTCTCTCTCTACTGCTGACACATCCAGGGGAGCTGGAGACTTGGTCATCACAATCTCCCCACAGGTACCTGCAATCAGTAATATACAATGATCATACATTATATCAAAGATCAGACTTTACAATATAAATAATTAAGCTGTCGTTTAAATGGTCTTGTTACACTATATTATTGGTATATTAGTTTTTAAGTAACATTATACACTGCTATGAACTGTGGTTCTTATATACAAAGCTGCGATTCTGAAAAGACTGTAATACTTTAAATTTCTTACCAGACACCCAGAGCAGCAGAGACATGAGGACTTGGGTCTCTGACACCATCTTGCTGCCTCTGCCTGACTGAAGCAGTTTAGTCCTCATTGCAAGAGCTTTGTTTATAAATTCTGAGGACCTGGGCTTTGCCTGGAGGGGCCTATGTAGAGCAACCAGCAAATAAAAAAGCAAATTTCCAGGGCAGCGAATGTGAGAATTTTTGATGTAAATCAACACCCCAAAATACCACCACAGAAAACTTAATTACAGGAAATGATCAGCTATCAGTGCTCAAGCAACAAACCACGAGCAGTTCTAATGCCAGCCTTCAGTTTAACTCGAACGTGTTCTTAAATTAGTTGAGTTTTCCAGAAATGTTAGGAAAGCTATCTCAGATTGACAATGTTAGGAGAAAAATAAAACGTATTAGAAAACCACAGTGATGAAAGAAAAAAACAAAGCAAGAGGAGAAGGAAGGAAAGAAAGAGAGAGAAAGAGAGAAAGAAAGAAAGAGAAAGAATTAAGTTCTGAGTCCAATTTATGCAAGGCGATAATCTCTTTCTCAGATATATACACACATACACATATATGAATATATAATCAAAGGTAGCTCAAGGTATTTTATATCCAAAACAAATTATTTACCTAGTTGAAGTTTAACATTAGATCTGAATGTTATTTACAATCATATATGTATTAAATTAATATGCTCCCTACTTTTATTTTGCTTTTATGCATTCATTTTCCAGGCATAAAATATTAAAAACATTTTTATATCAATTAAAACTCCCAAGAGAGAAACATACCAGAGAGATAGGGCTGTAGAGATGGCTCAACAATTAAGACCACTGGCTGCTCTTTCAGAGAACCCAGATTTACATCCCCACACCCAATGGCAGCTAACAGCCATCTGTAAATCCAGTTTCAGGGGATCTGACACCCTCTTCTGACCTCCTTGGGTATTGCACAAAATGGGTGCATTTACATACATACCGGCAATATACTCATGCACAAAAAATAAAAATGATAAAGAAAATATTTTTAAAAGAAACATACGAAACAAATATCGATGTGGTTGAAGAACTTCTGAAATCTAAGCTCAAGTTCATGAAAGACAAAAAAATATATGAAAGATGAGTAACTGTCCCAGACGGTGTCTACACAGTCATCCTGTGGTCTAGAACTGTGTACTTTGCTGTGTGTCTGCTACAGTGACTTCATATTCGCTGTCTTTTCTTTTTAGTTTCAATTACTGCAACTTAATCAGATTGAACCGGGATGGAGTCTTACAAGTCCAAGTAAACTGCTGCAGTAAACACACTTGCTTCTCACAATATGTAAGGAGAGAACATGGACATTCCAAATACAGAATATTGTTACTACTTTTGTACAATAAAAAAGCAATACAGAATACTGTTACTGCTTTTGAAACAAATCAAGTTTCCATGACATACTGTGCTATATTAGGTTTTGTGGTC